TCTTCATCGACCTGGCCAAGGCTTTCGACTCTGTCAACCACCGCATTCTTATTGGCAGACTAAATAGCCTTGGTTTCTCAAATGACTGCCTCGCCTGGTTCACCAACTACTTCTCAGATAGAGTTCAATGTGTCAAATCGGAGGGCCTGTTGTCTGGACCTATGATAGTCTCTATGGGGGTGCCACAGGGTTCAATTCTTGGGCCGACTCTTATCTCCGTGTATATCAATGATGTTGCTCTTGCTGCTGGTGACTCTCAGATTCACCTCTACACAGACGACACCATTTTGTACACATCTGGCCTTTCATTGGACACTGTGTTAACAAACCTCCAAATGAGCTTCAATGCCATACAACACTCCTTCAGTAGCCTCCAACTGCTCTTAAACACTAGTAAAACTAAATGCATGCTCTTCAATCGAACGCTGCTGGCACCCGCCCACCCGACTAGAATCACTACTCTCGACGGGTCTGACCTAGAGTATGTGGACAACTACAAATACCTAGGTGTCTGATTAGACTGTAAACTCTCCTTCCAGACTCACATTAAACATTTCCAATCCAAAGTTACATTTAGAATCGGCTTCCTATTTCGCAAAAAAGCCTCCTTCACTCATGCTGCCAAACATGCCCTAGTAAAACTGACTATCCTACCGATCCTTGACTTCGGCGATGTCATTTACAAAATAGCCTCCAACACTCTACTCAGCAAATTGGATGTAGTCTATCACAGTGCCATCCGTTTTGTCACCAAACCCCATATACTACCCACCATTGTTACCTGTACGCTCTTGTTGGCTGGTCCTCACTACATATTCGTCGCCAAACCCACTGGCTCCAGGCCATCTGTAAATCACTGCTAGGCAAATCCCCGCCTTATTTTAGCTCATTGGTCACCATAGCAACACCCACCCGTAGTCTGCGCTCCAGCAGGTATATCTCACTGGTCATCCCCAAAGCCAACACCTCCTTTGGCTGCCATTCCTTCCAGTTCTCTGCTGCCAATGACTGGATCAAATTGCAAAAATATCTGAAGCTGGAGACTCTTATCTCCCTCACTAACTTTAAGCATCAGTTGTCAGAGCACCTTACCGATCAATGCACCTGTACACAGCCCATCTGAAATTAACCCACCCAACTACCTCATCCCCATATTGTTATTTATTTTGCTAATTTGCACCCCAGTATCTCTATTTTCACATAATCTCTTGCATCTATCATTCCAGTGTTAATACTAATTGTAATTATTTTGCACTATGGCCTATTTATTGCCTTACCTCCATAACTTGCTACATTTGCACACACTGTATATATATTTTCTGTTGTATTTTTGACTTCATGTTTTGTTTTACCCCATATGTAACTCTGTGATGTTGTTTTTATCGCACTGCTTTGCTTTATCTTGGCCAGGTCGCAGTTGTAAATGAGAACTTGTTCTCAACTGGCTTACCTGGTTAAATAAAGATGAAATAAAAATAAATAAATAAATAAAAAGTCCTGTAACTTGGAGATTTAATGTCAGTTTCATTGTAGACTTTTCCCTGAAATGAAATGTTAGCTTATCAGGGGATATAGGCAACCTGCATCTAGCTAAGCAAACCATGGCAAAGTTTAATTACAATCATAAACCCAGATTTTAGTCAGTAGCCTATGCCAATTGAAATAACAAGTCAATCTCACAAATAGGCCATTTATAATGGTTTGTAGTCTTAACATCTGGCACATAATAACAGCACAATTGCCAGAAAATAGCCCATCATTAGTTTTTTGAAGTTCATCCAAGTGTTTCTTGCACAGAGATTTCGGGATCCTCTGTCCAACTTTCATCAAACTCTCCTGTCGGATTTACCTATAGTTATGCACATGCACAAACAAGATTTATTTACTATTATAAACTGGGTGGTTTGAGCCCTGAATGTTGATTGGTTGAAAGCCATGGTATATCAGACTGTGTACCACGGGAATGACACAAAAATACTTGTTACTATTCTAATTACATTGTTAACTAGTTTATAATAGCAATAAGGCACCTCAGGGGTTTGTGGTACATAGCCAATATACCATGGCTAAGGGTTATATGAACAGCCCTTAGCCATGGTATATTGGCCATATACCACACCTCCTCTGGCCTTATTGTTTAATCATAGCAGTCAAAACAAGTAAAATCGACATCCATTGATAGAAAATGGATCTAGAGAGTCTATATGCCATATCTTTCAAACTGTGCTCTTTCACAGAAGTTCTCAACCTATAACCTATATACTTATTATGGACACAGTATGTTTTACATTAGTTATTTTGTTGTTATTAGTTGTTATTAGTCCGAACCTTCAGCTCCATTCAACCCCTCCTATCTTCTCTTAACACCATCCATATTGGATTTCTATTTGCCATATATTTTTCAACTGTACAGTGATGTTTCACAAAAGTTCTGAACCCTTTTATTCTCATTGTTTCTACAGATTGTGAATTGAAAATAAACGTTTTTGCTAAAAGTATTATTATATTATTGATCGATTGACTATGACTTTTCAGATCACCCAGTAGGGTTAGCTCCAGGTAAATATTGCAATCCTTCAGCCATTCCTGGACCTGTGACCAAAAACAAGCGATCTAATGATTCTGTCTCTTCGCAGCAAAATCTGCAGAGCTGGGAAGATTGTATATAATAATATTATGCCATTTAGCAGATGCTTTTATCCAAAGCGACTTACAGTCATGTGTGCATAAATGTTTATGTATGGGTGGTCCCGGGGATCGAACCCACTACCCTGGCGTTACAAGCGCCATGCTCTACCAATTGAGCTACAGAGGACCACGTATCCCCCATATAAATAACATTCTATTGGTAGCAAGAATTTTGTATAATAATTTAAATTGAAAAATTATAAGTTTTGAATCCGCCGTCGTTTTGCGTATCAGTTCATAAACAATTTGCCATGGAATCGGTACGTCAAAAATCTCTTCCCAACTGTTTTGCAATCTATATGGGACGGCTGTCAATGCTTTGGTCCTTAAATGAAACTGGTATACTTTTTTATTTATCACAATTTTCTTTAACCAATTATGGTCTTTAATGCAGGGCCGACAGACAAGTTCCTTACTTTTTCCCCCTTCCACTTTCCGCTTCCATTTTTGCGGTAATGCTGCAATTATTTGGTTGTAATTTTGGGTAGAGCAGACATTTTCGTATGTTTTTGTTAGCTGCATGTGCGACATAACTCCACCAGGCCTACCAATGATATCATTTACAAAGATTATACCTTTTTAAAACATTTTTTCAAAAAATAAAGTTTTTTTTTTTTTAATCAATTAGTAGATTTGAGTTTAACCACAATATTTGTTGCGTTATTTGTTCTGTCGTTTCTGGAGGATTAAATTGAAATTGTAACCAACTTTCCATGGCTTGTTTTAGAAATAGTGATATTTGGGAGACTATTTCCTTTTCAAATAACTGAAAGTGAGAGGTTGTAATCTGAATAAAGGGAAAAAGGCCATTCTTGAACATGGGTGAGACAATTTTACTAATTTGCTAGAGAACCAGTTCGGATTTAAGTATAGCTTTTGTATGACTGAAGCTTTTAGTGATAGGTCTAATGCTTTAATATTGAATAATTTCTGTCCTCCAAATTCATGTTCATTATATAAATAGGCCCTTTTGCCATTCCAAATAAAATGGAATATTTGTTTCTCATATAATAACATTTAAAAAAAACTGTTCGTTGGGTGTAGGCAAGACCAGAAGCAAATAGATCAACTGGGATAATACTAAAGAGTTCATCAGGGTGATTTTTCCACAAATAGACAGGTATTTACCTTTCCATGGTAGCAAGATCTTATCTATTTTTGCTAACTTTCTATTACAATTTATTGGAGTGAGATCATTTCTTTCTTTTGGGATGTGTATTCCGAGTATATCCACATCACCATCAGACCATTGTATTGGTAAACTACACGGTAATGTAAAAATTGTATTTTTTTGTGATCCAATAAGTAATATAGTACATTTATCATAATTTTGTTGTAATCCAGAGAGGTTAGAAATGTATCTAAATCCTCTATGAGGCTGTGGAGGGATTCAAGTTATGGATTTAAAAGAAAACATGAATCATCAGCGTACAATGACACCGTGTTGGTTATGTTTTGGTTATTTGGATCTCCATTCACCTTTTTACTGTTAATGTAACTAGCCTAAATATAGATTGTGTCATGACTTTATCGATCTGATATTTTGGTTACTTGGCCTGCTACTTGGTACCGCTGTTTTGTTCTGTTCGTATTCGTTCGCATTCGCAGTTGTGTCAGTATTCTTAACCAAACTGCTATTCAGTATTTTTGTTTGCATGCATGAATAACTAGGCAAGTATTGGCAACTGTATACTTGGAGTGTCTCTGAAAGTGGGCGTTGCAAAATAAGTGGGTAGATCAACAGCAATGGGTGTTACATCAGTCGGTGGATCCACAGCGAAGGGTTGTAAGTAACATCAGCCCTCCATTATTGGTTAGACCGGCTCTAGCCAGGTTCCCTGCAGGTGAGTTTAATGTTTACATAGCAGGTTAAGAGAATTAACATAGACGGTTAAGATAATTAACTTGGCAGGTTAGAATAATTAAAGTGGCAGGTTAGGAGAATGAGTTTAAGATTAGGAAAAGGGTTAGGGTTAGGCTTAGCTAGAATTCGCAGCAGGTTAGGAGAATAAGGTTAAGGTCAGGAAAAGGGTTGGGTTAGGCTTAACTAAACTGCTACAGTTGTCAACAATTTACTAGTCATGCAGCCCAATCAGCCACGCGCAAAACTGTCTTGAGTGGCAACACATCTGCCCAATTAGCTGATTGACTTTCCATACACCCACTTCTGTTGATCCTTCCACTTCTGTTGACACGCCCACTTTCAGACACATGTACCCCCCCTCTGCCTGTCTGTTCCCTTGACAACGCAAAATGTGTGATTCAAAAACAGTGACGTCACCGCGTATTTCCCATGTTCCTTTGCGAATCCCAGTCGAGCGTTTTGTTGGCCAAAACATTTGTCTCCGTATGGGCTGGAGAATAAAGAAGATATTTTTGTTCTCCACAGAAATCTTGCCAGACAAACAATAATCTCCGACTCAGTGCATAACTGAGAGTCTTTGACGCTGCACAGTAGGTCAATATGAAAAATAATGGTGTGAGAAACAAATTCGACCGTTTGGAAATTAACAATGTAATAGTTAGCTTCAGCATTGCTAGCTAGCTAATGTTAGCTCAATACTAGTACAGCGAAAGGAACAGCAACGTGATTTATGACTAGCCTGGCTTTAGCGTGCTAATTGTAGTCAGCTTTCTACTATCAGTGGCTTTAGTGTCGTCGAATAATTGTATTTTTTGGACGGTGTTTGAAAGTGGCTTTCATGTTGGCTCTTGTCGTGAACTATAATATGGCTAGTTAGTTAACGTTATCCTGCTAACGTTAGCTTTGTTACTAACAGTAAGTTAGTGCAACTAGCACTCAGATTTGTCGATTAACGTCAGTTACCAGTAAGTTAGTGCAACTAGCAAGCTGGCTACAGATAGGATTATTGATAGTTGAGGAACCCTCAACTCCGTTCTCTTATGTCGAGTTGGAGTTGCGTTTTGATGATTGTTCGCGGGATTTGCTAGCAACAACATTGAGTCACAATCAGTCGATCCTTTAAAACAATTCAATTCTGGGTCCGTGCTATCAGGGATCCTTGGGAACTAGATATCTATTCCTTCTGCCAATTTAAATTGTAGGTAGCTATGTAACATAGACCCTTGGGCTTAGTTTACAGATAACATCAGTAAGTAATGCCAACTGCTTTCTGATGATACACAAGATTCGAGATTAGCGCGCCAGCTAGTCAAGTCTCCACACAAAACAACCCGAATAGCTAGGTACAATTTACAGATATCAAAACAGTGCTATCTATCTAAAGTATTGAATTTAAATCTAAATCAACAGGCAAAGCCCTGTATCACATAGGAAATGCATAATGTTCAGCTGACAAGTACACTATATATACAGAAGTATGTGGACACCCCTTCAAATTAGAAGATTTGGCAATTTCAGCCACACTCGTTGCTGTCAGGTGTATAAAATCGAGCACACCGCCATGCACTCTCCATAGACAAACATTGGCAGTAGAATGGCCTTACTGAAGAGCTCAGTGCCTTTCAATGTGGCACCGTCATAGGATGCCACCTTTCCAACAAGTCAGTGCGTCAAATTTCTGCCCTGCTAGAGCTGCTCCGGTCAACTGTAAGTGCTGTTGTGAAGTGGAAACGTCTAGGAGCAACGACGGCTCAGCCGCGAAGTGGTAGGCCACACAAGCGCACAGAACGGGACTGCCGAGTGCTGTAGCGCGTAAATATAGTCTGTTGTAACACTCACTACCGAGTTCCAAACTGCCTCTGGAAGCAACGTCAGCACAATAATTGTTCGTTGGGAGCTTCATGAAGTGGCTTTCCAAGGCAGAGCAGCCGCACACAAGCCTAAGATCACCGGAGTGGTGTAAAGCTAGCTGCCATTGGACTCTGGAGTGATGAATCACACTTCACCATCTGGCAGTCCGACGGATTAATCTGCGTTTGGCAGATGCCAGGAGAACGCTACCTGCCACAATGCATAGTGCCAACTATAAAGGAGGAGGAATAATGGTCTGGGGCTGTTTTTCATGGTTTGGGCTAGGCCCCTTAGTTCTAGTGAAGGGAAATCTTAACACTACAGCATACAATGACATTCTAGATGATGCTGTGCTTCCAACTTTGTGGCAACAGTTTGGAGAAAGCCCTTTCCTGTTTCAGCATGACAATGCCCCCGTGCACAAAGCGAGGTCCATACAGAAATGGTTTGTCGAGATCGGTGTGGAAGAACTTGACAGGCCTGCACAGAGCCCTGACCTCAACCTCATGGAACACCTTTGGGATGAATTGGAACGCCGACTGCGAGCCAGTCCTAATCGCCCAACATCTGTGCCCGACCTCACTAATGCGCTTGTGGCTGAATGGAAGCAAGTCCATGCAGCAATGTTCCAACATCTAGTGGAAAGCCTTCCCAGAAAAGTGGAGGCTGTTATAACAGCAAAGGGGGGACCAACTCCATATTAATGCCCATGATTTTGGAATGAGATGTTCAATCAGGTGTCCACATACTTTTGGTAGTGTAGTGTAGCTAGGATGTTTGTGAATGTCAATCCATGCTATATAATTTCCTATTCCTTTAGAGCTATGGACCAGGACTATGAGTGTCGGCTACTCAGGCAGATCAACATCCAGAACGAGAACGCCAGCCCTATAGTAAGTGGTTCGATTTTATAAAAGGTATTGTCTGTACTGTGCATTGGCTTGTGTTTCCCAATATCGTTCTGTATTGAGATGGTACATGTAAACTCAGCTTTTCACAATTCCTGACATTTAATCCTAGTAAAAATTCCCTGTCTTAGGTCAGTTAGGATCACGACTTTATTTTAAGAATGTGAAAGGTCAGAATAATAGTAGATAGAATGATTTATTTCAGCTTTTATTTCTTTCGTCACATTCCCAGTGGGTCAGAAGTTTACATACACTCAATTAGTATTTGGTAGCATTGCCTTTAAATTGTTTAACTTGGGTCAAACGTTTCGGGTAGCCTTCCATAAGTTGGGTGAATTTTGGCCCATTCCTCCTGACAGAGCTGGTGTAACTGAGTCAGGTTTGTAGGCCTCCTTGCTCGCACACGCTTTTTCAGTTCTGCCCACACATTTTCTATAGGATTGAGGTCAGGGCTTTGTGATGGCCACTCCAATACATTGACTTTGTTGTCCTTAAGCCATTTTGCCACAACTTTGGAAGTATGGTTGGGGTCATTGTTCATTTGAAAGACCCATTTGCGACCAAGCTTTAACTTCCTGACTGATGTCTTGAGATGTTGCTTCAATATATCCACATAATTTTCCTTCCTCATGATGCCATCTATTTTGTGAAGTGCACCAGTCCCTCCTGCAGCAAAGCACCCCCAGCATGATGCTGCTACCCCCGTCCTTCACGGTTGGGATGGTGTTCTTCGGCTTGCAAGTGTCCCCCTTTTTCCTCCAAACATAACGATGGTAATTATGGCCAAACAGTTCTCTGGTCTGATAAAACAAAAATAGGACATTTCTCAAAAATTTACGATTTTTGACCCCATGTAGTCTGGCTTTTTTAGGGCAGTTTTGGAGCAGTGGCTTCTTCTTTGCTGAGCAGCCTTGCAGGTTATGTCGATATAGGACTTGTTTTACTGTGGATATAGATACTTCTGTACCTGTTTCCTCCAGCATCTTCACAAGGTCCTTTGCTGTTGTTCTGGGATTGATTTGCACTTTTCGCACCAAAGTACGTTCATCTCTAGGAGACAGAACGCGTCTCCTTCCTGAGCGGTATGACGGCTGCGTGGTCCCATGGTGTTTATACTTGCGTACTATTGTTTGTACAGATGAACGTGGTACCTTCAGGCGTTTGGAAATTGCTCCCAATGATGAACCAGACTTGTGGAGGTCTACAATTTTCTTTCGGAGGTCTTGGCTGATTTCTTTTGATTTTCCCATTATGTCAAGCAAAGAGGCACTGAGTGTGAAGGTAGGCCTTGAAATACATCCACAGGTACACCTCCAATTGACTCACATGATGTCAATTGGCCTATCAGAAGCTTCTAAAGCCATGACATTTTCTGGAGTTTTCCAAGCTGTTTAAAGGCTCGGTCAACTTAGTGTATGTAAACTTCTGACCCACTGCAATTGTAATACTTTGAATTATAAGTGAAATAATCTGTCTAAACAATTGTTGGAAAAATTAGTTGTGTCATGCACAAAGTAGCTGTCCTAACCGACTTGCCAAAACTATAGTTTGTTAACAAGAAATTTGTGGAGTGGTTGAAAAACAAGTTTTAATGAATCCAACCTAAGTGTATGTAAACCTCCGACTTCAACTGTATATGATGTTCCCTTGTTTACAGCTTGCAAATGTCTTAGAATTTAAACCTTAAAAGATAGTGTCTAAATGTATTCATGTATGAATTGCTTGGCACACTCAGCTGAACACAGAATGTTCAGGGATTTGGAGAGTGAGTTTTAGTTCAATTGATGGGACATGGGGTAATGGTCATCTATCCAGAGATACCAGGGATGTTAAAGTTAATCGGTTAGCCATCATGCTTTTCGGTCTATAGGTTAATTTGCATATTTTGGTGGAATTAAATTGCTGAGCAAATGTGTGTATTTTCGTTAATCGTCATGTGTCTCATCACACGCGCTTTGTATACAGAGCATAGTTTGTGGAGCAGAATAGCCTATCACCTGTCAGATAGCGCAAGAGCAGCTCCTCAAAAATGTGGTACTGGAGTGAGGTGTGCTTTTGTAAGCCCAGTTATTGTGCAACAAAATTCTAAATGCAAAATGCTAATATTTTGATGGCCACGATTAAGAGCTATTTTTTTTTTTTATCTCAACTTGTAATTAAATCGCGCCTCCCATTTCAGTGCGTAAGCTATAGCCTGCCTACTGTTGACTATCAGCACGTAACTAGAGAACAACCTATAATCGGCCGAGACGATATATTGATCTAGTCTATCGGCCCTTATCTTTCGGTTTTGCCGATAGTCCCTCTACATAGCAAAGTTGCTGTTATGCCAGCCGCCACTCACCGCCTGAGCCACGAACACTGCATCACGAACACTCAAAACAGGTTTTTGGAAATTTTTGCAAATGTATTAAAAATACAAAACTGATATTACATTTACATAAGTATTCAGACCCTTTACTCGGTACTTTTGTTGAAGCACCTTTGGCAGTGATTACAGCCTGAAGTCTTCTTGGGTATGACGTTACAAGCTTGGCACACCTGTATTTGGGGAGTTTCTCCCGTTCTTCTCTGCTGATCCTCTTAAGCTCTGTCAGGTTGGATGGGGAGCGTCACTGCACAGCTATTTTCAGGTCTCTCCAGAGATGTTCGATTCGGTTCTGAGTACGGGCTCTGGCTGGGCCACTCAAGGACATTCAGAGACTTGTCCCGAAGGCAGTCCTGCGTTGTCTTGGCTGTGTGCTTAGGTTCATTGTCCTGTTGGAAGGTGAACCTCCGCCCCAGTCTGAGGTCCTGAGCGCTCTGGAGCAGGTTTTCATTAAGGATCTCTCTGTACTGCTCCGTTAATCTTTTCCTCGATCCTGACTAGTCTCCCAGTCCCTGCTGCTGAAAAACATCCCCACAGCATGATGCTGCCACCACCATGCTTCACCGTAGGGATGGTGCCAGGTTTTCTCCAGACGTGACGTTAGGCATTCAGGCCAACGAGTTCAATCTTGGTTTAATCAGACCAGAGAATCTTGTTGATCATGGTCTGAGACTCCTTTACTTGCCTTTTAGCTAACTCTAAGCGGGCTGTCATGTGCCTTTTTACTGAGGAGTGGCTTCCGTCTGGCCACTCTACCATAAAGGCCTGATTGGTGAAGTGCTGTAGAGATGGTTGTCCTTCTGGAAGGTTCTCCCATCTCCACAGAGGATCTCTGGAGCTCTGTCAGTGACCATCAGGTTCTTGGTCACCTCCCTGACCAAGGCCCTTCTCCTCTGATTGCTCAGTTTGACCAGGCGGCCAGCTCTAGGAAGAATCTTGGTGGTTACAAACTTCTTCCATTTAAGAATGATGAAGGCCACTGTGCTCTTGGGGACCTTCAATGCTGCAGAAATGTTCTGTACCCTTCACCAGATCTGGGCCTCAATACAATCCTGTCTCTGAGCGCTATGGAAAATTCCTTTGACCTCATGGCTTGGTTTTTTTCTCTGACATGCACTGTCAACTGTGGGACCTTATATAGACAGGTGTGTGCCTTTCCAAATCATGTCCAATCAGTTGAATTTACCACAGGTGGACTCCAATCAAGCTGTAGGAACATCTCAAGGATGATCAATGGAAACAGGATGCACCTGAGCTGAATTTTGAGTCTCATAGCAAAGGTTCTAAATACTTACGTAAATAAGGTATTTCCGTTTTTTATTTATGCATTTGCAAATTTTTCTAGCAACCTGTTTTCACTTTGTCATTATGGGGTATTGTGTGTAGATTGATTGAGGGGAAATGTTTTAGTTTAATCCATTTTAGAATAAAGCTGTAACGAAATGTGGTGAAGGGGTCTGAATACTTTCCGAATGCACTGTATTAGCTACTATGCTGGCTAGATAAACATGGTGTTAAGATATCAGGTAGGCGCTAATAGCCAATGGAGCTAGCTAACGTTAGCTGGTCGTCAGTTTGTACATGCACCATTTTCGGCAATGAGCCATCTGACTTGCGGTATAACGTTAGCTGCTATTTACTGGTGTGCTGATCAGACCAGCTGCAATTGCATCCGTAAATTGAAAGTTGATAGTCTTATTAGATGATTGTCTTAATAGGGAAAGAAGGAAGTGTTTTATAATGCCTAAGTAAAGGTTGGCAATAGGTTTAGCTACGTAAGAATCTTCCTGCATGTTTATGGACCAAGAAAGCTGTAGATCAGCGCACTTCTCAAACTATGGGCAGATTTGAGTCATTCAGACAGAATGTGCATGGTCGTTTTAATATTTTTTCCTACCCTCTCTCTCCTTGTTAGATATTATGCACATTTATGGCTTGGTTGCAAAAGTCATCACAATTGAGCTAGTTCTCATAGTAGCAGTAAACAGCACCAAGTGATATGGCGATGGATGTGAGCTGTGAAAGGAAACGGCGTTACAGCCTCACTATCCAATCGTAGGATCGGCCCATTTCTTGACAGCTGAACTAGCCAATTTAGTTGTTTAGAATTTCCTCCTGGTAGCTGAGTTGTTTAAAGATCCGTCCTGACCGCTGAAAAAAAAATACGTTCTCGATCACGGAAGTAGTTTTATAAGCATCCGTGATCACAAATCATGATGTTACGTTGGACCCATTTGCATTGAAAATGTTATTTTAAATTCTCAAACTAACAGCAGTGCCTATATGATGTCCTTCCATACAGGTGTGACATGCTGGAGTAATGCTTCAATGCAGATGTTGATCAGTAGGCTGATATAAGTCCCAAATGGAAGGCAAACAGATTGTTTGTCATCTGTAGCACCATAGACTCCACTGATCAGCCAAAACAAGCTCAATAACTAAATGCATGCACACACTCCTACTGAATATGCATTCACCTGTATTGTGGGTAGGCCTATCTCATCTTAATTGACCCAGTTTATCAAGAGATTTACCATTCAAATACATTTGACTAGTATGTTATGTAGTTAGATTGGTAAAAACAAAGTCCAATTCATTGTCTGATTTTTTTAAAATTGATGCATTAATGCGTACATAGCTTTCTCTATGCGTAACCAACCAATTTGCAATGTGCGCTTGAGGCAGTGTAATTTTTAAAAACCTGAATGTTTTACTTTACTTCAAATAAGGCATATCTTACCTTGCTTCAATGTAGCCTACACTTACAAAAACATATTGCATTTATAGTGCAGTGTGTAACTGCAATCTTTTTTTGTAAGGGTAGCCAAAATCCAACCATAGAAACGTGGAGGAAATATATTTTATAAAGGCCATTAACCAGAATTTCTCTCCTCTTTTATTGGTTTTCATATTAACTTTATTTAGTTCTCCAGAAGCCGAAGGCACAATCCTAGTCATATTAGCAACCCATGCTAGTAGTTGCTGTTAGATTCCCCCTCCCTTTCTAAGTTTCTAACAGAGATTTTCATCTGTGTCACATAGGGAACTGCTCGGCATCAGGTGATGGCGAATTACATTTTGGCAAATGTTTGAAAATAACGTTTTATTGGCTGCTTCATTACAGGAGCTGCACGTTCAATAATAGCCTTTTTACTATAAGACGATAGGTTTGCTATTGTTGCATATTTCCATCAAGCTGTTAATGAAAGTGTCTGTTCCTTGTACGCATGCATAGTATTTTCTGTTGGCCACGTAATTTGAGTGTTTTGAAATAATGTAACCTGGTTAACGAGGGCATGTTAGTCGGCAGCAAAATTGACTGAAATGTACATCTCTCAAGAGATACAAGTCCCATGAAACTAGGTCAGTAGTAGGAGTATGCTATACTAGCTCGACATGTACGAGAACCAGTTTGTGTATTATTTGTTTTGTTAAACTGCAAATGGGACATAATGTTAGGCTAAGCAAAACATACTGTCAGTGTTTGAAGTTGAAAGCTACTGATCAAGGGCTAGACTGTCTCAGATTAGACTGACAATAGTCTGATACTGGCTCCTCCCTAACAGGTATAATAACAAAACTGCCTTTTGAAGACTAAATGGAGTTTCTATCCATGTGTGACACGAGGGTTTTGCTTTTTAACAATGTGTGAAGTCTAAAAGCTAAGGTTTTATTCAAATGGTGTCTCTGTCAGGTCCCCTGGTGTTTTCTCTGAATTAGAACCACCAATGATTGATCTCTTCTATTTTACTTTATGCCAAGTTTTACCCCTCTCCCTGCGGAAACCCATTAGAAAATAGGCCTGGCCTACATGTATGTAAAAAAAAAAAAAGAACATATGTTTTGATTTTTTAATGAATGTGTAAAAAAAATTGTGCCATCTTTATTCTATTAGAGAATACTTTCTTAAATTATATTATGTGCGCTAAACGTAAGAATAAAAAATGAAAACACACTACTGGTCAAAAGTTTTAGAACACCTACTCATTCAAGGGTTTTTATTTTATTTGTACTATTTTCTACATTGTAGAATAATAGTGAAGACATCAAAACTATGGAATCATGTAGTAACCAAAAAAGTGTTAAACAAATAAAAGTATATTTGAGATTCTTCAAACTAGCCATCCTTTGCCTTGATGACAGCTTTGCACACTCTTGGCATTCTCTCAACCAACTTCATGAGGGAGTCACCTGGAATGCTTTTCCAACAGTCTTGAAGGAGTTCCCACATATGCTGTTGGCTGCTTTTCATTTACTCTGCGGTCCAACTCATTCCAAACTATCTAAATTCCGTTGTGGTCGGGTTGTGGAGGCCAGGTCATCTGATGCAGCACTCATCACTCTCCTTCTTGGTCAAATAGCCCGTACAAAGCCTGGAGATGTGTTTTGGGTCATTGTCCTGTTGACCCCTTCTCCTCCAGCTGGTCCACATGAATGGTCTCTCAGTTCCCTTCTTAGCAGCCGACTTGATGTCAGACCACTATTTTTTACGCCGGCGTCACTGTCCCTTGCCATACCCCCGACGGCAGAGACTCGGCCACTCTCGCCCATCCTCTCTTTTTGGTCTCTGCAGTGACCCCGCAGTTATCAAGTCTCCCCAACAGCAAACTTTTCCTGGCTGCTATTTCCTCCATCACTTCAAGCTCTAGTTTTTATTAGGCTTTCCTTGGTTATCCATTTTTGTTTTTGATGTAGCTAGTCTGATGGCTATAATGTGTCAAACAAACATTTGTTTTTGTACATTAAGGGTTTCGCGAGCCAACAAAAGCAAAACATCTGTAGACATAAAGCAGATAAATGTAATCAAATGGAAATATCAGCTCTTTATTATAGTCAGCCAAATCATATCATCCCTGTCACATAGGCTTATTTATTGGTTTCAAGCATGTCACTAATGCCACATAAGAAGATAATTACGAAGTTCTTAGGAAAGATATTCCTAAGAAAACTATGAATTCCTAAGAACATTGAGGAATTACACTTACTAACTTATTTTTTTCCCCCCTTAAACTTCTTAAGTAGTGTTTTGTAAATCCAGCTCCAGGTGACTACCTCATGAAGCTGGTTGACAGAATGCCAAGAGGTGTGCAAAGATGTCAAGGCAAAGGGTGGCTAATTTGAAGAATCTCAAATATGAAAATATTTTGATTTGTTTAATACTTTTTGGATTCCATATGTGTTATTTCCTGGTTTTGATGTCTTCACTGTTATTCTATAATGTAGAAAATAGTCAAAATAAAGAAAAACCCTGGAATGAGTAGGTGTGTCCAAACTTTTGACTGGTACTATGTGTATATATAATCTTTGAAAACTAACAATCACCAAAATAAATGCTAGCGTCAGGGAGAGTTGGAAATTCCCAAAACAATGAATTTAGCAGTATTAATTTTATGTTTTGAGCAAAAGAACAGCATTAGTCATGGCAAAATGTGTAGAATTGCAGGATATTTGCTCTATAGGGCACTATAAAATCAGCGTTGCAGAAAACGTGGACAGAATCACGGAATCCAGACATTAAAGTGGAATTCAAAAATGTATTGAACTTATTAGAAAATTCCTTAATTCGCCCAAAGTTAATCATAAGGCATGAACAAAATGCATCAATAATGCAACTTTCTGAAACGGAACAGGAATGCTAGTCTGGGTGTGTGTCGTGTTGGATCCGATTTTAGTGGAACTATTCACCGATATACAGTATCTGCTGATATTTTTATTATAGCTGGACAAAAAAAAACTTTAGCGATTTGTGCTTAAAACAGCCCTACAAAGATACTCAGAAAGCTGATTACTTACATTTGAGGAAAAAACATTAATATAAGCACCACATAAAATTTAGGAGCACCAGAAAGACTGATTTTTTTTTTTAATAGGAAAAACAGTTACTCTAGTGAAAGGAGGATAAATTGCACTGATTCCAGCAAATAATACGTCTAAGCTCATGCTAGCCAGCTGGAAAACGTAGGGACATCCCAAGGTTTAGCGTAGGGACATCCCAAGGATCCCGGGTGGCACTAACCCTCAGTGAACGGTGTCCACTACTCTCACACAGCTAGTTTGCTGGCTAGATGGATTGACGAAATGGGAATTTGGACCAGTCCCTGACAAGTGACAACCCATACATCAAAAAGTAGCTATGAAGCGCTACTTTGTAACCTGCTGTTTTTTTTTTTGTGTCTCTAAAAACATATGAATGACCGAGCTTGAGAAATAACCTTTGCAAAGAGCAAATTCTAAAACACCAGATTTTGCCGGCTTCACTAAAGGGCTGTAACGTTAACGTTACCACAGAGTTGAATGTTCTTAGCACGGCACTTCTTAGCACGGCTTTACATTTGGGCATAGCATCCATTGTTTGTTACAACACCCAACACCATACCATGACACTTAACGTAACAGTTTATGGCCAGTGTGCATTTCTGACACTTTTTGAGCTGCCAAGCTTTTATCTACTCGGCACTCAACGTAGAAGCAGGTGTAGTTTCGTGGGGTGATAGTGTCCAGTCTTGCTGTAGCGCGCCAAGGCAAGATGGGCTTATAGCCATGTAAAGAGTGCCCTATTCAGGACGAATAATGAAATCCGTTTTCTCCTAATCTTATACCTGTCCTTTTTTCGGTGGATTAAATGCCGATACAAATGCATCCATAAAAGGTCAACCAATAAATCGGTTGGGCTCTAGTGGGGTGTGCGCGTGTATGTCTAGAGCGTGCACTTCGTGTAGCCGTTAGCGATAATGCTAATGATAACCGTATGCTGGTGATGGAAAGGTTTCCCAAAAACCTTCTCGATTTAAATGTCAACCACAAAGTAGCCTATGCCTACCTGGCAGAATATAATCCAGTGGCCATTTGTTTGGCACACTCTGCAATCACATGAGCGCTACAGAAACACAGCTAGCTAAACAACAGTCTCTGGCATGGTGTGCACTTGCATTAAAGGATAACTACACACAAAATTCTACATTTCTTCATTTTTCCCAGGCCTCAAAAGTGGTCTCCTAATGTGGTTTAAAGGAATACTTCGGGATTTTGGCAATCTACTTCCCAGAGTCAGATGAACTCGTGAATACCATTTTCCAGTATGAAGGCGGTTGCGGAGGTAGTTTTGCGAGCCAATGCTAACTAGTGTTAGCGTGATGATTTGGAAATCTATGGTATCTACTCAAAATAACAGTTTTTATAGGGCCCTAGTTTTAAAACTGCAAACGTTTATCTCAGCTCCATGGAGAAATGTGTAGAATTGCAGGAAATTGTCTTTAAAATGCTAACATTTGAGGCCCCTAAACATGGGGGCCTCTAAAATTCAGCCATACATATGGGCCGACCACGCCCATTGCCACGCCCACCACCTAAGCCCCTTTTTGAATCAGAATAAACCCTTATCTGTGATTCACATAACCCCCTTAGTTAATTGTTTACCTTTCTTGGGCTCTGTGGATATCATGAGCTATTAATGGGCAATGATTGTGGTTTCCTCATCTCCTGACTCTCGTGGTTAAATTGTGTCCTCTCTGATGACGATTCCCCCTCTTACACTGTATCCCTTGCTCTTTCCCCCTGTAAAGAAAGCCATAGATGCAGCGCGAGCGCTGACACCCACCAACTCCCCTCTGTCGTCACCAAGCAAACATGGCGACCGCTTCATCCCCTCCCGCGCTGGCGCCAACTGGAGCGTGAACTTCCACCGCATTAATGTGAGTCCCCCGCAATGCACCCTGGGATTTTGTCTTGTGCCCTAAGTTTTACATCTGTTGTGTTGATTGTATCGTTTTCTGGGTTGCAGCACCTATAATCACTGTGTTGATGTTGTGTAGGAGAATGAGAAGTCCCACAATCAGAACAGGAAGGCAAAGGATGGCACAACAGACACTAGCAAAGGTAACCCTCTTGACTCCTTTAAAGTCTCCTATTGCACTTCATCTGGGTTGCGCATACATGTCTGCTCACCCCATCTGTTCCCCACTATTTCTCCTCTAGCGGACGGCCTGGCGTACTCTGCCCTGCTAAAGAACGAGCTGCTGGGGGCAGGCATAGAGAAGGTCCAGGACCCCCAGTCAGAGGACCGCCGCCTCCAGCCCTCAACCCCTGCCAAGAGGAGCCTCTTTAGTGTACGTAGTAGGCCCTTCTGGGGGGAATGGTGTCTTTTCCCAAACTACCAGGACTAGTGTACTGTATGCTGGAGTTAGCCACTTAATTTTCGTTAGTCATACTACAACATGTTAACTTTTGATGCTGAATATGCCACTTGTGTGTGTTTACAGTATTCTGTCAGTGCCAAACGGTCTCTCCCTGAGGATGGCAACACAGTCTCTCCATACTCCCTGTCTCCTGTTAGCAGCAACAGGTAACCACCACCTTCACTTTCTCATTTAATTTGATATTATATGGCCAACAGTGATTGTTTTAGTTCTCTTCTCCCTCTCATTCCATTCTAATGATATTACTCTTGGTGAAGAAGAGTCTCTTCTGTTTCACATTTAATTGTCTCCCTCCTTATAGTCAGAAGCTGTTACGGTCACCTAGGAAACCCACACGTAAGATCTCTAAGATCCCCTTCAAGGTGCTGGATGCTCCGGAGCTGCAGGATGACTTCTACCTCAACCTGGTGGACTGGTCCTCCCTCAACGTCCTCAGTGTCGGCCTGGGCACCTGTGTCTACCTGTGGAGCGCCTGCACCAGCCAGGTGTGTTTCTGTGTGTGTTAAAGTGTAACTCTCAACCCAAATTTACAGCCTTTGCCCAACTCCTTCAAATGTTCAAAAAATGCATTCAGGTGAGAAGATGTGGGTGTGGGGAATTGTTAATAAATATTCATTTTGAGGGTGGGTAAACGTACCTGATCCCAACACTTTCTCACTAAAGCATACTTACTACAAGTCCACTGGCACGCTCTGATAAAAATAATGTGCATTGCAAGTAAATTGGGCTCTGGACAGTTGGCTCACAGTGGTAAGGTGGTGAGTTCCTGATATCTATTGCCACTTGCGGTGTAAGTACAAATCCCCATGGGGTGCAAAAATAATCTTTGAAATGTGGACTCACATTTATTGTGGTATTGTGTTGGGAAGAAAAGTGTGATCATCACCTTGAAAATGAACATGAGGGGCTCAATTCAATCCAACCCGCATTGCAGTATTACGCAGTAGCTATTTTTCCAATGGACAAATTAACTCACGGATTGGTTGTGGGTACTGTGTAAAAACCTACAATTACTACCAGGGCGACCCTTCTCGCAGGTATGCTTTCACTTTTCAGAATTAGAAGTGTCTGGGCATGGTATGAATATAGTAAATATAGAATTTGGATAAAAATAATATCTGCCTCGTGGGATTAGAACTCAGAACCATTGTACTATGAGCTAACTGTCATAGTGGACTGCCCCACCAATCAGTCATAGCCGTTAGGGGAAAATACAAGAACTTGACCACTTTGTCATCTATTTGTACTTATGATGGATGTTTTAATATTTTGTATATATACACTACCAGTCAAAAGTTTGGACACACCTACTCATTCAAGGGTTTTCTCTATTTTTACTATTTTCTACATTGTAAAATAATAGTGAAGACATCAAAACTAAATAACACATATGGAATCATGTATCAACAAAAAAAGTGTTCAACAAATCAAAATATATTCTTCAAATATCCACCTTTTGCCTTGATGACAGCTTTGTACATTCTTGGCATTCTCTCAACCAGCTTCATGAGCATGGAATGCATTTCAATTAACAGGTGTGCCTTAAGTTAATTTGTGAAATTTCTTTCCTTCTTAATGTGTTTGAGCCAATCAGTTGTGTTGTGACAAGGTAGGGGGGGTATACAGAAGAGAGCCCTATTTGGTAAAAGACCAAGTCCATATTATGGCAAGAACAGCTCAAATGAGCAAAGAGAAACGATAGTCCATCATTACTTTAAGACATGAAGGTCAGTCTATACGGAACATTTCAATAACTTTGATAGTTTCTTCAAGTGCAGTCGCAAAAACCATCAAGCGCTATGATGAAACTAGCTCTCATGAGGACCGCCACAGGAATGGAAGACCCAGAGTTACCTCTGCTGCAGAGGATAAGTTCATTAGAGTTACCAGCCTCAGAAATTGCAGCCCAAATAAATGCTTCACAGAGTTCAAGTCACAGACACATCTCAACATCAACTGTTCAGAGGGGACTGTGTGAATCAGGCCTTCATGGTCGAATTTCTGCAAAGAATCCACTACTAAAGGACACCAATAAGAAGAGACCTGCTTGGGCCAAGAAACACGATCAATGGACATTAGACCGGTGGAAATTTGTGCTTTGGTCTGGAGTCCAAATTTGAGATTTTGGGTTTCAACCGCCGTGTCTTTGTGAGACGCGGTGTGGGTGAATGGATGATCTCAACATGTGTAGTTCTCACTGTAAAGCATGTTTTTTAGTTTTGATGTCTTCACTATTATTCTACAATGTAGAAAATAGTAAAAATAAAGAAAACCCTTGAATGAGTAGGTGTGTCCAAACTTTTGACTGGTAGTGTGTATATATAAAAAATATTAAAACATCCATCATAAGAACAATTAAATATTTTTCTTCATCAAATAGCATAGAAATCATCACTTTTTGTGCAGTGTTAATTTACCATCCTTACAAACCACTTAATGTACTTTACTGTATTGTACATAGGCTGGTCATTAGGTTTGTACCTGTAGACTTTCCATCACCATGAAGAATAACAATGCACAATACAGTAATTGAGTACATTGAGACATCAAGTGGTTTGTGATGTGACTCAGTTGGTAGAGCATGGCGCTTGCAATACTAGGGTTGTGGGTTCGATTCCCATGAAAAAATGAAAATATTCCCCCAAAAAATGAAAATATATGCACTCTCTACTGTAAGTTGCTCTGGATAAGAGTGTCTACTAAAATGGAAAAGGAATGAATAGACCATTTTAAGTTAACACATAGATTTTATGTTGCATTTGCAAAGTATTTAAAAAAACTGGAAAAGATATATCAAGCTAGTATTTTTATTCCTCAAGTATTATCAGATTAACTGTTTTGTACAGATAATTATCAGACTCAAGTTACAAATGCTGGTAAACACTCAAATACATGTAGTTTTCCAAAAATCACAAAAGTAGTGCACTGTGCCGTTACTAGTCCTATATTATCGGACCTGATATACTGTATAGGTCTTCAGCTCTGCCAATTTTTCTTCTTCTGCGTCCCCCCTCCCCTGTCGGAAAAAAATCGCAACACCCCCACCCCCAAACTACTTCCCGCGGCTATGCATTTAGAAGGGAGTTTGTTTCATACCGAACCCCTCCCTTGAGATGACGTAGAGGCACCTTCTCAAGGTACCTTCTCAAGGTGCCTCTACATCACGATTTCAATGGCAGAGTTGAACCGCTATGGGCAGAAAGAGCTAGATTTACTATTAAAAGACCTTCATGTATCACTTTTGCAACAAACTGTCAAAATGAAGACCAGAATTGACATGTTTCACTATTGTTTTTTTCATGTTACTCTTTGATACACTGAAATCAGTGACCACTTCACTGTGAGAAACGGCCTACTATTTGATGTTTCCAATTATCTCGAAGGCATTTTGTAAGCTCTTTCATGTGAAATGAGTTGGTAATTGACAATATAACAATTGTCTTTTGGTCTCCAGGTGACGCGTCTGTGTGACCTGTCAGTGGAGGGGGACTCTGTCACGTCAGTGGGCTGGTCAGAGAGGGTGTGTCTTCCTGCTTTACCTCCTATATGTTCTCATGGATATCACTTATCAGAGCCATGTACTGTATTTACAGAGTTGGGACATTAAGACTTCTGCATTTACAGTGCATTCGGAAAGTATTCAGACCCCTGGACTTTTTCCACATTTTATTTCGTTACAGCCTTATTCTAAAATTGATGAAATTGTTTTTTCCCCTCACCAATCTACACACAATACCCCATAATGACAAAGCAAAAACAGGTTGTTAGAAATTTTTGCTAATGTATTTAAAAAAAAAAAAAAAAAACATTTTACATAAGTATTCAGACCCTTTACTCAGGACTTTGTTGAAGCACCTTTGGCAGCGATTCACCCCAGTCTGAGGTCCTGAGCACTCTGGAGCAGGTCTTCATCAAGGATCTCGCTGTACATTGCTCCATTCATGTTTCCCTCAATCCTGACTAGTCTCCCAGGCCCTGCCGCTGAAAAACATCCCCACAGCATGATGCTGCCACCACCATGCTTCTCTGTAGGGATGGTGCCAGGTTTCCTCCAGACATGATGCTTGGCATTCAGGCCAAAGAGTTCAATCTTGGTTTCATCAGACCAGAGAATGTTGTTTCTCCTGGTCTGAGAGTCCTTTAGGTGCCTTTTGGCAAACTCCAAACGGACTGTCATGTGCATTTTACTGAGGAGTGGCTTCTGTCTGGCCACTGTACCATAAAGGCCTGATTGGTGAAGTGCTGCAGAGATGGTTGTCATTCTGGAAGGTTCTCCCATCTCCACAGAGGATCTCTGGAGCTCTGTCAGTGACCATCAGGTTCTTGGTCACCTCCCTGACCAAGGCCCTTCTCCCCCGATTTGCTCAGTTTGACCGGGTGGCCAGCTCTAGGAAGAGTCTTGGTGGTTCCAAACTTCTTCCATTTAAGAATGATGGAGGCCACTGTGTTCTTGGGGACCTTCAATGCTGCAGAAATGTGTTAATACCCTTCCCCTCTACATAATCCTGTCTCGGAGCTCTACGGACAATTCCTTCGACCTCATGGCTTGGTTTTTGCTCTGACATGCACTGTCAACTGTAGGACCTTATATAGACAGGTGTGCCTTTCCAAATCATGTCCAATCAATTGAATTTACCACAGGTGGACGCCAATCAAGTTGAAGAAACATCTCAAGGATAATCAATGGAAACAGGATCCACCTGAGCTCAATTTCGAGTCGCATTGCAAAGGGTCTGAATACTTGTATAAATAAGGTATTTCTGTTTTCGCTTTGTCATTTATGGCGTATTGTGGGGGAAAAAATGGTTTAATCCATTTTAGAATAGGGCTGTAACGTAACAAATTGGAAAAAGTCAAGGGATCTGAATACTTTCCGAATGCACTGTACATGACACTACAACAGTCTATGGCAGCCATTGTTAGCGCCCTATTAACATTACATTAGGAATATCTAAACAATGCTATGTAACTGTATGTTTAGAATTGGAACAATATAACACATTCTGAAAGTTGGCCCAACTCGCTAAATATATGGCTCTGCCCCTTAGTTGACCCTATATCCCTTTCTAGAGATTTCAGGTGGTGTGATGGATATGCCCTTATACCATGTCTGGTTATTGTATTAATGTGTGTGTGTGTGTGTGTGTGTATGGTGTTTTCTTCAGGGGAACCTGGTAGCAGTGGGGACTCATAAGGGCTATGTACAGATCTGGGACGCGGCAGCAGGGAAGAAGCTGTCTGTACTGGAGGGACACACAGCCAGAGTGGGTGAGTGGGAGTAGACTGATACTGTCTTACAGAGAGAACAGGACAGCTTCTCCTCAGAGAGAGAGAGAGGAACAGTAGTGATGCAACCATAGAAATAGAATGACATGGAATACAATATCTATTCATTGTATTGCTATGGCTTCATTAAATATTTAGCCTTTAGTCAAAACAACTATGAAAACTTTAGCTGTTATGTATGATATGAATATAATTGATTTGCAAACTCTTTCTCTCTAGGTGCGTTGGCGTGGAATGCCGACCAGTTATCGTCGGGCAGTCGTGATAGGGTGATCCTGCAGAGGGACATCCGAGCCCCACCCCTCCAGTCAGAACGCCGTCTTCAGGGACACAGACAGGAAGTCTGCGGCCTCAAGTGGAGCACAGACCACCAGCTGCTGGCCTCAGGGGGGAACGACAACAAGGTACACGCACACACATCAGACACAGCACCAGGGTTGGGGTCAATTCCATTTGAATTCAGGAAGTACACTGAAATTCTAATTCTCTCCAATGTTTTTCAATTAGGAACATTTAGAATTTGGTTTACTTTCTGAATTGACTGGAATTTAAATGGAATTGACCCCTGCACAGCACAGACCAACTACTGGTATCAGTGTAATTACAAGACACAAAACACACACAGAAACACAAACCTGCAGTCTGACCTATCCCAGATTACAATAGCTCAGCTGGTAGAGCACGGCGCTTGTAACGCCAAGGTAGTGGGTTCGATCCCCGGGACCACCCATACACAAAAATGTATGCACGCATGACTGTAAGTCGCTTTGGATAAAAGCGTCTGCTAAATGGCATATTATATTATTATTATTATATAAAACCCACCCTCTCTTGAATAACTACACTACTGCTTTTATCCTTATGCTATTGCATTATTTCCCAAGAAAACTAACAATCCTTACCCCTCCCCATAGCTGCTGGTATGGAACCACTCCAGTGTTCTCCCGGTGCAGCAGTACACAGAGCACCTGGCTGCGGTGAAGGCCATCGCTTGGTCCCCCCATCAGCACGGCCTGCTGGCATCTGGAGGGGGTACAGCCGACCGCTGCATCCGCTTCTGGAACACCCTGACGGGCCAGCCCCTGCAGTGCACCGACACCGGATCCCAGGTCTGCAACCTGGCCTGGTCCAAACACACCAATGAACTGGTACGTAGCTAGTGGGTGCTTTTTGGGTTCATTCTTTGGGAAACCTGAACATAAATGACTGATTTTTATTTATTTATATATATATATATTTTTACTTTGGCACAAAGAAATTCCCTTTAATATAAATAATTTGGACTCCTATTAAAACCCTCTTGAGTCAATTTCGGCAGCATTCCGCATCTGCGGTGGATGGCCAAGCTACAACGGTGTTTCAGACCATGAGACGTCACAAATCTGTCTTCTCACGAAAACGTCTGTCGTCCGAATGGTTTGGGTTACAAACTAATATGACCTCTCTATGGAAAGATGAGACTCACGAACACTTATATGCATGAACACCCACAAGCCTCACAGGACTCGCCTGAAGGCAGCCTGCTACCAGTTACAAAAATGAATGGAAGTACTCGTGGTCCTCTGGAGCTCAGCTGGTAGAGCACGGCGCTTGTAACGCCAAGGTAATGGGTTCAATCCCCGGGACCACCCATACACAAAAATGTATGCACGCATGACTGTAAGTCGCTTTGGATAAAAGCGTCTGCTCAATGGCATATTATTATTATACACTACATGAACAAAAGTATGTGGACACCTACTCATCGAACATCTCATTCCAAAATCATGTGCATTCATATAGAGTTGGTCCCCCCTTTGCTGCTATAACAGCCTTCCCCAAACTGTTACCACAAAGTTGGTAGCACATAATCGTCTACAATGTCATTTTATGCTGTAGCGTTAAGATTTCCCTTCATGGGAATTAAGGGGCCTAGCCCGAACCATGAAAAACAGCCCCAGACCATTATTCCTCCTCCACCAAACTTTACAGTTGGCACTATGCATTAGGGCAGGTTGCGTTCTCCTGGCATCCGCCAAACCCAGATTCGTCCATCGTCCTGCCAGATGGTGAAGTGTGATTCATCACTCCAGAGAACGCGTTTCCACTGCTTCAGAGTACAATGGCGGCAAGCTTTACACCACTCCAGCCGACGCTTGGCATTGCGCATGGTGATCTTAGGTTTGTGTGCGGCTGCTCCGCCATGGAAACCCATTTCATGTAGAATCCAACGAACTGTTCTTGTGTTGACGTTGCTTCCAGAGGCAGTTTGGAACTCGGTAGTGAGTATTGCAACCGAGGACGATTTTTCAGCACTCGGCGTTCCAGTTCTGAGCTTGTGTAGCCTACCACTTCACGGCTGAGCCGTTGTTGCTCCTAGATGTTTCCACTTCACAATAACAGCACTTACAGTTGACCGGGGAAGCTCTAGCAGGGCAGAAATTTGACCAACTGACTTGTTGGAATGGTGCCATCCTATGACGGTGCCACGTTGAATGTCACTGAGCACTTCATTTAAGGTAATTTTACTGCCCGTGTTTGTCTATGGAGATTACATGGCTGTGTGCTCAATTTTATACACCTGTCTGCAACAGGTGTGGCTGAAATAGCCGAATCCACTAATTTGAATGGGTATCCACATACTTTTGTGTATATATAGTGCATTCGGAAAGTATTCAGACCCCTTGACTTTTTCCACATTTTGTTACGTTACAGCCTTATTCTAAAATGGATTAAATTGTATTTTTTATCTCATTAATCTGTACACAATACCCCATAATGACAAAGTGAAAACAGGTTTTTAGAAATGTTTGCAAATGTATTAAACATTTAAAACTGAAATACCTTACTTTCATAAGTATTCAGACCCTTTGCTATGAGACTTGAAATTGAGCTCAGGTACATCCTATTTCCATTGATCATCCTTGAGATGTTTCTACAACTTGGAGTCCACCTGTGGTAATTGTTTGGACTTGATTTGGAAAGGCACACACCTGTCTATATAAGATCCCACAGTTGACAGTGCATGTCAGAGCAAAATCCAAGCCATGAGATCGAAGGAATTGTCCGTAGAGCTCCGAGACAGGATTGTGTCGAGGCACAGATCTGGGAAAGGGTACCAAAACATTTCTGCTGCATTGAAGGTCCCCAACAACACAGTGGCCTCCATCATTCTTAAATAGAAGAAGTTTAGAACCACCAAGACTCTTCCTAGAGCTGGCCTCCTGGCCAAACTGAGCAATCGGGGGAGAAGGGCCTTGGTCAGGGAGGTGACCTAGAACCCGATGGTCACTCTGACAGAGGTCCAGAGTTCCTCTGTGTAGATGGGAGAACCTTCCAGATGGACAACCATCTCTGCAGCACTCCACCAATCAGGCCTTTATGGTAGAGTGACCAGACGGAAGCCACTCCTCAGTAAAAGACACATGACAGCCCGCTTGGAGTTTGCCAAAAGGCAACTAAAGACTCTCAGACCATGAGAAACAAGATTCTCTGGTCTGATTAAACCAAGATTGAACTCTTTGGCCTGAATGCCTAGCGTCATGTCTGGAGGAAACCTGGCACCATCCCTATGGTGAAGCATGGTGGTGGAAGCATCATGCTGTTGGGATGTTTTTCAGCAGCAGGGCCTGGGAGACTAGTCAGGATCGAGGCAAAGATGAATGGAGCAAAGTACAGAGAGATCCTTAATGAAAACCTGCTCCAGAGCGCTCAGGACCTCAGACTGGGGCGAAGGTTCACCTTCCAACAGGACAACGACCCTAAACACACAGCCAAGACAATGCAGGAGTGGCTTCGGAACAAGTCTCAATGTCCTTGAGTGGGTCAGCCAGAGCCCGGACTTGAACCCGATCTAACATCTCTGGAGAGACCTGAAAATAGCTGTGCAGCAACGCTCCCCATCCAACCTGACAGACCTTAAGAGGATCTGCAGAGAAGAGTGGGAGGAACTCCCCAAATACCGGTGTGCCAAGCTTGTAGCGTCCTACCTAAGAAGACTTGAGCTGCCAAAGGTGCTTCAACAAAGTACTGAGGAAAGGGTCTAAATACTTATGTAAATGTGATATTTCAGTTTTGTATTTGTAATAAGTTAGCAAAAGTTTATAATCCTGTTTTTGCTTCGTCATTATGGGGTATTGTGTGTAGATTGAGGAAAAAATAATTTTATCAATTTTAACAAAATGTGGAAAAGGGCAAGGGGTCCAAATACTTTCCAAAGGTTCTGTGTATGGAAGTAGTTTAGTATCTAAACTACTTCCATAGGGATTAAATGTGTCAAAAAACATAGTTTCCTGATCTTTGTTATATCTCTCAGATATAGGGCAGACACTTCCAAAGAAACTTTTTTGTTTGACAATTTGTTTTTCCATGTATGAATATTTTTATTCAATGTGTTTCTATGGGCTTATAGCAGTAAGGCCAAATACAATGTTTCATCAAATATTTTGTAAATATTTTTGGGGATACTTAAATTCAAAATCAAATTACTAAATTATCGTTGGTATGACAGTCTTAAAACAATTCCATATGTTAGCTTAGTAGACCCCCCCCCCCCCCCCGCCTCGCATAGACGCTAGTGGGTTAAAGGGATAATACACTCCAAACCACTAATTCCTATGATTAAGTGTTAAATGACACTCAAATTTGAAAACAATATTTTTTGTGAACACATTTTTCATTTTGTCGTTAAAACAAGGTTCGTATCAACGTGAAAATCGTTGTGGAAATCTGTTGGCAGCTGAAGTAGAATATAAAACCCACAATGCAATGCTCGCTCTGTGCTGGCTGGCTATTTAGGTAGCTAGCTAGCAAATGTAGCTACACACTAATACTAAAGTCAATATCGGCATGTGAAGTAGCTAGATAGTTTGTAAAATTGCGTTTACAAACTGCATTATCAATTTAGGAGTCTCTCACAGAGTTCAGCTTGCAGTTCCTCTCTGCCCAGAGAAAGTGCAGTGTGTTGCTATGGCAACAGCTGCCCTTTTCCAAGTTTCACACAGACACACATGGCGCATTGCAAAATGGTACTTGATGGAGAAATTGAGTTGAATCATTTGGTGCACTGTTTAGATTGAGCACATTCTAAGCTAAATATATACTTTGTCATGATGATATAAACAGATGGATGTGTTCTAGACTAGTATGCCCACACCATCTATTGGCTGATTTGGCGATCTGGAGTGCAGGTAAATTTTTAAAAAGCATTATGAAATGTGATGGGGGATACCGCTATCTCCAGTGACGAGATCCATGTAGCAATGGCGCGTTCCTACATGATTTCTTTATTTCAAACAGACCACTTAGAAGTTAAATCATGGGTAAAACAATAAATAATTTACCCACTGATAGAACATAGGCTTTCACCAAATTGACAGGAGTTTCATGATTTTTACTTTTGGGTTAAGCGTTTGTAACTAAAAATGTTTTTACTTCCAGGTGAGCACACACGGTTACTCCCAGAACCAGATCTTGGTGTGGAAGTACCCTTCCCTCACACAGGTGGCCAAACTCACAGGCCACTCCTACAGAGTACTCTACCTGGCCATGTCCCCTGACGGAGAGGCCATTGTGACAGGCGCCGGAGACGAGACACTGCGCTTCTGGAACGTCTTCAGCAAGATGAGGTCCACCAAGGTAACCACACACCTCATTGATTGGCGACATTGATTTTGTGCTGCCTGTGCCCCATATAAAGTCTACCTTTTTTTAAATGATTTTGTTACCAATACCAACCCAATATGCAAAACCAATGTCTCATTTGGGAAACACTGGTATAGAGGATTCTAGTGCGTTAGAGAACTGACCCCTGCTCTCTTCCTCTGCAGGAGTCTGTATCTGTTCTGAACCTGTTTACCAGGATCCGGTAGCCAGAGGGGGGGTGAACCCAGCCCAGAGGGAGTACTGTACTACACACAACACTGGAGTCCATTCTGATAAATAAATCCCCTCTCTCTGCCCCCTTATGTCCTCCTACGCCTCTGGTAGGCTAGGGTCCTTTCAAATACCCAAGGCCAGGTCGTCAAGCAGATAGATGGGAGTCAATATTCCAGTGGAATAAATCCACTCCTCACAACGCCCATCACAACCAGTGTGACATTACAAGGCATACAGTTCCATTGGTGATTTCCTTGGGAGAGGAGGATTCTGCGACGTGTTTTTCCCCAAGTGATTCTGTTTTGTTTAGACTGTGCACACCTGCCAAATACCAAGTTTGTACTTTTTTTGAATGTTTTATTTATTGTTTTATCACGTAATGTCGCCAGGGTGCTTCAGCAGACTGTTTGTTTTGTTTTCTGTGTGAGTGAATGTTGCGTGTCCGACTCTTCGTGAAGAGCCTGAAGCTTTTGTGTTTGTGCCTGCCTTAAAGGGATAGTTTACATCTAAAATCAAAGTATGTCAAAAAATATATATCCTTTACGAGGTATGAAAATGTGACATGCTTTGACTTCAGGGTGAGCTGAAGTGATTTTTTTTTAAACATGTTGTAGACTGTTCTAATTTATTCACCTGGTAAAAAAACAACAATATTTTAAGTTAGTTGTGTGATGCGTGTCAATAATGGCGGAAATCTTACGTTTTTTTAATTAGAAAAAAAATCTGCAGTTGTAATTTGAGCGGTGGCCGCAAACTAACTACATAGAATCACTTACCGTTTTTCTCTGTAAATCGTGTTGTTTTGCCAGTTAATTTTCTTTTTTAAATTTTTAACGAAAGTGCCAGTATCAGTACTCAGTAATCAATCGCATGGATATATGTAGGTTAACCTACATTAACAGAGACACATTTCCAATTTTCGGTGTCTATTGAGTTCCAAGAAAATGTCATTGCACTCAGTCTGATAACGAGCAAGTAGTATTTGGAAACAGGTAAATAACTAGTCATAACCTTTGGAATTGATACTTATACCAGATACAGGATAAAATATTAAAATCGTAACTTTTTCCTGGGTGTAGCAGTAACTGAAATGCACCGTAAAGAAAAAAAGGAACAACATTCATGGTCTCTTAAAGGCATCGCTGGTTGCATTGTGCTATGTGTGTCTGTGGTATAAAGATATTTAGTCCAGGGCACTTCATTTTTTTTCTCAGCATTTCTTTGTGACTCTTGTAGTAGTTCTTTTTCATTTTCTCAGTTTGGATGTGGGTTTTGAGTGACCTTGTGTGCCATCTTTGAATGAGTGCTATTTATTTGAGCTGTGTAAAAATTGTCCAGTACACCCATAGCATGTGTGTGTTATTCTGAGAGTTGATTATTATCTGATAGTTGAATGATGGAAAGCTGACCTGTACAGTATATAGTATACTATAGCTCCAGTCCGAACTAAGCATTTTTACTCATTTTATGCCACAGAAACAAAACAAAGAATGCTGCCATCTTGAAATGCCTAAAGAATGTTATGAAGATAAATAAATATTTATGTTCTGAGAAAAGAGATCACATCACTTTTTTCAAGTGTATGTTATCTGTTTGTATTATAAAGTGTGTGTGTACGAGGAAATGCACAGCACGTATGATTGGTGTAGTGTTAATAGTCCCCCGATACACACAGCATTATTGCTAAAGAGCTTTAGTTGCAGTATGTGTTGACTATCATACCATTAATCTCACGTGGGCAGATTCTGCATGTAGACCAAGAGAATCTGCCAGGACTGAAAGGGATGTGTGAAATGGAGCAACAGGGGTTCGGTTTTTTTGGTTTTCATCACTGGTTATTTGGAAGTATCGGAATTGGGGCTTTGGCTGAGCGTTTCCTTTTGCGAGGGTGGAGACTTTGTTTTTGTCAGAATTCTCAATTTCTAAAATGTATGAACACAGAAGTTAATCATGCAGCTGACCAAATAACATGACATTTTACCACTGGGTTAACTGATATTATTGTACGATAAACTGAAGTCATGTGTGAGATGGCTCTTGTAAAGCTTTCCTAATATAAAGGAAGCACCAGAGGGCGCCAGTCTCCTCTCTTCTCCAGCAGCAGCTCTTCCACACCCTGTTCCATTTCTGCACCAAGATCAGGCCAGCGGTGGACAACTCCAGTTCTGGAAGGCTGCATTATGTGCAAACTTTTATTCCAGCCCAGTGCTATTTGATTCAACTAATGGTTGCATTAAAAAAATGAACAAGTGGATTATTTGAATCGGGTGAGTGTGCTTGCACACACACTGTGGCCTTCCAGAGCCCTCTAGAGCTAGTGCCCTAGCTCCCACCCCTTCAGTGTTCACAGGTGTGACAGGACTGGGGAGTTGTGAGAAATATGGAGCTTCTGCTTAAACATTTACATTTACGTCATTTAGCAGACGCTCTTATCCAGAGCGGCTTACAAACTAGTCCTTCAAAAGGCTAAGATTTTCCACAATATTGTTTTGACCTGCCAAAACCAAAGGGTCAGGAACTGGTAATGTTCCATTTTGGCCCATATCACAGCTGCATCCTACTGGTATTGAATTGCTTCCTTTTCTTGTCTCCTTTTCTTCATGACCACTGAAGTGAAAGGAGAGGCCAGTAAGGTGTCTCTTTACCCTTCACTGGTCATGGTGAGGGAGATGGGGTGGAGGCCCATTCTAAAAACAACTCTTACCAAGCCCGTCCCCCCATCTAACCTGGTTGTTTGTTTACAAATCTGTTGTTTTGACCTATCCAGTCCCTTCAGTTCTGCAAACACAGAGGTTAGCAGATAGTAGTTTGTTTTTCGACCAGATAGACAAATGGAAACTACTGAAGACTATTGGACCACAGAACAATGAAGGATCAAAGCGGTGTGTTCATCAGACAGATAATGGATTATGTCTTCTATCTACTTGTAGAAGCCTTTCCTCCAGACCTATCATAATCCCATGCAAATTACACAGATATTGTATTGTGATGTAGGGATACATCAGGACATGCACAGCGTTACATCTCTGCCCCAGCTCCAGCTTAGAACCTGTACCATTAAGCCTTGAGAGCTGGGTGGAGAATAGAGGTAGATGTCTTCATCTGCATAATCCTGCCCCCCGATGAGTCTTATCAGGAGACAGCCCAGAGAGAGAGGTCTGCAGGATCCATATTAAACCCAGTTGTAGTGCTAGTCACCACCAGACTGCTGGACTATCAAAGGAGTGGGGCTTAGTGTTGGCTACCCAGGCCTGTCCTGCTGACATTTCCTAAACAGAATGGAGCAGGAGTGGGTCATAGGGCTCATTTGCAAATGGATTCTCATCCCGCCCCTCCCCCCAACCACCTGTAGGCTCATAATGGAAGGATTTCTTTAGACCGAAAGACAGGATAGGCCTATATCTTAGGTTGGTTTGCAATACAACATTGTAAGGATACATGATTTGATGCCATATCCTATTGCCAGGATATAATACTACGCATAGCCTATTTACTGGTAAATATTAGGTTGGGCACTCAATAATAATAATAAATTATACAATTTCTGTACCTCTTTTCATAATTTCAAAGCGCTTCAAAAGCAAATAAACAAAACAAGCAATACATCATCACGAGTAGCCCATAATGTTAGCTAGGTCACCCAATAGTAAGTGTTTGAGTGCATGATGCGTCCTCCAAAGATGGAGAGAGACAGTTCATGGCTTGATCAGAGGAAGGTGGTCAGGGAGATGGTTGATGAAGAGTCTGGTGACGATCTTGTAGAGGGCTACTCTGGGACCATCGTAAGTCATGTAGCCACTGCACTTCTCCTCCTTCACAATGTATGGCACCCACTTGGGTGATGCCTCAGCAGCTCTGGGTGCCAGAAAGCTCACCACACACAGTTCACAGTAGTAGCCAGTCTTCCTTGCTATGAGCCCTCTACCTCAGCACTGCATTCCTCTACTGCATCTCAAATTCCTCTCAAGCTTCAGGTGACTCTTCAATGTATGTTTTCAAAAGATCAGGAACCAGCAGCCAGGTAAAAAAGAAAGCTGGTACAGTGTCCAGATGCATCATTCGAAAAGATTATAATAAAAACAATTAGCTAGCTAGCCAAGCCAAAAAATAGTTGACCTGCTAGTCTATCTGCAAATCTGTTGGTCAAAACCACCAGAAATATGCAATAAAACTCAATGTTATCAAAAAACCAAACCCATTTTGGTGATTTCTGGTATATCATCAAAATATATCAATAACAGCACATTTTTGGACACATTCAGCAGTTTTTACCTGATTAAGTACAATACATTGGAAATTAATGTTGAAAGTTACATTTACATTGCTAAAACTTAAGTTGAAAATGATGCTGTCGCTGTTTCCTGTTGACAAGACATACAGTACCTATTGCTAAATAGCCCCATGTCCCATTTTTGTTTTGAAGTGTCCAAATCAATAACCAATATGCAGGGGTGTAAAGTACTTGAGTAAAAATACTTTCAAGTACTACTTAAGTAGTTTTTTAGGGTATCTTTACTATTTATGTCCCTACTGCCTCTGATCTGGCGGACTCACTGAACACACATGCTTAGTTTGTAAATTATGTCTGATTGTTGGAGTTTGCCCCTGGCTATCCATAAATGTAAAAAACAAGAAAATTGTGTTGTTTGGTTTGCTTAATATAAGGAATTTGAAATGATTTATAGCTTTACTTTTACATTTGATACTTAAGTATATTTTAGCAATTACAATTGCTTTTGATACTTAAGTATATTTTAAACCAAATACTTTTAGACTTACTCAAGTAGCGTTTTTACTGCGTGACTTTCACTTTTACTTGAGTCATTTTCTATAAAGGTATCTTTACTTTAACTCAAGTGTGATAATTTGGTACTTTTACCACCACTGCCAATATGCAGAAAGAGTTCGTAATATAGGCTATTGAAAACCTAAACCTAAAATGTATTATATACAGTCGTGGTCAAAAGTTTTGAGAATGACACAAGTATTGGTCTTCACAAAGTTCGCTGCTTCAGTATTATGATATAATTTTGTCAGATGGTATACTGAAGTATAATTACAAGCATTCCATAAGTGTCAAAGGCTTTTATTGACAATTACATTAAGTTTATGCAAAGAGTCAATATTTGCAGTGTTGCTCCTTCTTTTTCAAGACCTCTGCAATCCGCCCTGGCATGCTGTCAATTAACTTCTGGGCCATATCCTGACTGATGGCAGCCCATTCTTGCATAATCAATGCTTGGAGTTTGTCAGAATTTGTGTGTTTTTGTTTGTCCACCCGCCTCTTGAGGATCGACCACAAGTTCTCAATGGGATTAAGGTCTGGGGAGTTTCCTGGCCATGGACCCAAAATTTCGATGTTTTGTTCCCCGAGCCACTTAGTTATCACTTTTGCCTTATGGCAAGGTGCTCCATCATGCTGGAAAAGGCATTGGTCGTCACCAAACTGTTCTTGGATGGTTGGGAGAAGTTGCTCTCAGAGGATGTGTTGGTACCATTCTTTATTCATGGCTGTGTTCATCAAGCTCTGTCAAATTGGTTGTTGATCATTGCGAGACAACCATTTTCAGGTCTTGCCATACATTTTCAAGTAAATTTAAGTCAAAACTGTAACCCTGCCACTCAGGAAGATTCACTTTCTTCTTGGTAAGCAACTCCAGTGTAGATTTGGCCTTGTGTTTTAGGTTATTGTCCTGCTGAAAGGTGAATTAATCTCCCAGTGTCTGGTGGTAAGCAAACTGAACCAGGTTTTCCTCTAGGATTTTGCCTGTGCTTAGCTTCATTCTTTCTTTCTTATCCTGAAAAACTCCCAAGTCCTTTATGATTACAAGCATACCCATAAAATGATGCAGCCACCACTATGCTTGAAAATATTGAGTGGTACTCAGTGATGTGTTGTATTGGATTTGCCCTAAACATAACACTTTGAATTCAGGACAAAAAATGAATTGCTTTGTCACATTTTTTGCAGTATTACTTTAGTGCCTTGTTGCAAACCGGATGCATGTTTTGGAATATTTTTTATTCTGTACAGGCTTCCTTCTTTTCACTCTGTCAATTAGGTTAGTGTTGTGGAGAAACTGCAATGTTGTTGATCCATCCTCAGTTTTCTCCTATCACAGCCATTAAACTCTGAAACTGTTTTAAGTCACCAATGGCCTCATGGTGAAATCCCTTCCTCTCTGTCAACTGAGTTAGGAAGGATGCCTGTATCTTTGTAGTGACTGGGTGTATTGATACACCATCCAAAGTGTAACTAATAACCTCAGCATGCTCAAAGGGATATTCAACGTCTGCTTTTTTTTCAACCCATCTACCCATTTCATTTGATTTTTACCCATTTAAGCCTATGCTGAAACGGAGACATGGATCACCCCAGAGAACACTGCTACTCCAGCTGCTCTCTCGTCATTTGACTCCGTTTTCTCTCATAGTCCAAAAGCATCTGGTCGTCGCGGTGGTGGCACAGAGCTACTCCTAACTGGAGAGTTTATATTTTC